CGATATTAACATGCGCTCATCGCCTCATCAAAAGCCATGACTTGTTTGCTTCCTTTTCCCTGCCCAAGAGATCCGTACATACTTTTTCTTGTTTAATTATATGCGAGTATACGGTGTACCACGGTTAATTAGCAACACAGACGATTTGTCATTATCTTAAACTCATCTCTTTGACTGCAAAGGTCCTGTGTCACTCCTAACCTTAACACGTCGTGACCCAAACTCAGCCTTGCTTTTTTCGCTTGCTCTGCCCACAGACACCGCACACTCCAAAGTCGCCGGGGTTGAGATACTCGCTCCCCTGGCACGCGGCGCCCTCGCAGCGCCAGGCGTTCGGCACGCTTGCCGGGTCCAGCACGTGGGAGCAGACGGCGCACGTTATCGACAGGGCAGAGTTGGCAAACGAGCAGACTCCACAGATGGACTCGGCCTCACTCTCTTGTCTCTCTTCGGCCGTCGTCGTTGCGGCCGCAGCTCTATTAGACTTTGGCGCTGGCATCGTCGCTGACGCCGTCGCCGTCGCCGTCACACTCTCGGCCGATGGCGGCGCGATCGAATGACGGATTGCTATTGACCGGGGTTCGTCTCGCGCTTCTCTCTTGATTGTGGGGGTTGCGCTCGCGATATCTAAAATTGGCGCCTCCTGATCGTCATCCGGCTCCTCCTTGACCTTGACTCGGGGAAGAACTTCTTGCTTTGGTTCCCGGATCGTCGGTACTTCCTTATGTGATGAATCTGCTACTGGGTTCTGTGGTGGCACAGTTGCAGCTTCAGCTTCGTCCACGGGCTCGCGCTTGAACTTGAGATGCGTCTGTTGCCATTGCTTCACCGACGCCTGTAACTCCTGTAGCTCATTCTGGGCGTCCTGGTCATCGGGGTTCTCGTCTTCGCAGACCTTGATCATGCCCCTGCCTTTGCCATCCTTGATCACCTTGCCATCGATATCGACGGCATCTTCGTTCTTGATGTCCGCCGGATCATCTTCGTACTCGCTTTCGCCGCTGTCTTCGTCCTTGACCTCATTCTTGATGTCTTCTTCGGGCTCATTTTTTGGCTGGTCGAATCGTGCGAGCGCCGCTGCAGCTCGCAATTCACGCCCACGAGCACTCCCAGCCACGCGAGGCTTCGCTTGCGTGCGTTTGCCGCCTTCCAGCTTGACCTTGGTCTCCTCGTCGGCGCCCAGGGCCGTGCCGTTGGCGCCAAATTTCTTGAGGATTCGGCGCTCCTTTTGCTCCTTGTAGGATAACTTTGGCTTGACCTTCCTCTTGCGTCCACGAGATCGATATGTGCCACCGCACAGGTGTTCTGGCAGCGGTTCAGAGGGGAGTGCGACGTTGTTCTGGAACTGTCCTGTTCCCAGCAGGGCACCACGACCCCAGAGGCCTTCGCCAGAGTACCCTCGCTGCCAAAGCCCTCGCATTTGCTCAGCATAATTGTTCCTTACGGCCCAGAATGCTCTGGAATGATTCATTTGCTTGCAGTGCGCAAGCCTTCGTCCAGTCAGCAAGGGGTCACCGAGGACACTGTAGCAGACTTACTCGTGCATCATCACCATCTGGACGTACTCAAATGGCAGCCATCGTCCTGATTGCGATTTGAGCACTAGCTGAATAATCTCACCGGCGTTGAAGTTTCTGCCGACAAATTCCCTGTTGAATTCGTACTGCTCTAGGGACATCACCGAAAGGTGGTGCTCTTTCATAATGGGTACTTAATCTGGTCAGCTGAGCCCGGACTTCAGAACAGGAGAAGCCACTCACAACATTGTGCAGCAATTCTTTCCAGAAAATCCTGGGCAATCTTTTCATCGCGACCTTTCAGAGGCTTGATGAAGATGATTCGGTCGTTCGGATGCGAACGTTTCGCATTCAACCGCTGAATGCCGATCGGCATAGCGACACTGACAGGGACTTGGGGACAGTGTTCTCAACAGTATGAAGCGTGTAATCGTGTAGTTTTTTCGCCTTTAGTTTGGCAGACCTTTTGTTCTTCACTGAGTATCAGTGATACCAGGATTAGAGTACTGATGGAAAGGAGTGATGAGTCTAAGACCGGACGTGACGAGGGGCAAAAGACGGCAGAGCGGGAGTGACGCGCAGTCACGTGCCCCACTTTTCGAGCGCTTTGGTAGCCACCACTCGCCTGGACCTGAGCAACACGGCTGCCTAAGTTAACGTCCGTCAGGAAAGAAGTAAGTGTTTGCGCCATGAAACTTTTGTTTGTTCCGCATTTCTATTTTCCAAAATTATTTGCATCTTTCTGCTGACATGATCATCGTCTTCTGGCACCACCGGCGCTAGCATCGCCCCTCTCGGCGAGGGAAACAACCTCACTGATACCAGCGGCCTCCTGCTCCTCCTCCAACGCCGTGATCTCCTCTCTGCAATCCCACCACTTTTCCTCACTGAGCTCAAAGGCCTTGGCTTTGATCTCCTTGATGGCAAGCGTCTCCGGTTGGATGTTCTTCCAGAGAAGGTTGGTCATAAGAATCTCTTGCCACTCGTTCGTGGTACGCACGAAGAAATCACGTCTTGTCTCGAAGGGCTGTGATATGTTTGTTAGCTTGATTCAGACCCCGATGATAAGTGCCGACGGAGCTTACTCTTGGGTGCGGGAGACCGTCATCAACGGTCTCGGTCGCCTCCGTCTCGTCGTCCTCTGTCGCGCTCGTAGCAGCAGTCGAGGAGGTTGCGTTGGTCGTCTCCGAGCCGGCAACGGAGGCCTCGTCGCCCTGCTTCTTCTTGCGTTTACTCGGCGTGTAGAACTGCTTCTTGTCCTCCTCTTCCATCTCGATGTCTCCTTCTTCATCTTCATCGTCTTCATCATCTTCGTCGTCATCCTCATCATCATCATCGTCTTCGTCCTCGGACTCCTGAAGTGCTATTAGTGATGTGAACCCAGTTCCAGCAGTGATCTGACTTACGATCCAGTCCTCGACAGGCCTGTTGAAGATTTCTTTACAGCCGTCCATTTTGCCAAGATCCACTGCATACAAGTCGTCAAAAGTAAACTCGCGGTCCTTCGCCTCGAAAGTGCCGCCATAGATGTAGAGTACATCATCTTGCACAGCCAATTGGGCATTGAACCGTTGATGCGGCAGCTCCATCGTAATTGGCATTTCTCTCAGAGGGCTCGCGTCCTCCTCGGGCTCCTCCTCCTTCTTCTCAATCTCCATATCGTCGGCATCTTCCAAGGACTTGCCAGTTTCGAGAGCAGCCAGCTGACGGAGGAGTTCCTCCTCTCGATCCTGGGCACGAGCACGACGGCCTCCACGCTGCTCAGCCGGGTTGGCCTTCTTTTGCTGACGGGCCTTGCGAAGGGCGAGCGGGAAGAAGCGGTTCCTCTCAATGTTCCACGCAAAAAGCTCCCTGAAGAACTCGCTGTCCATGCCTTCTTCACTATCCTCGACATCGTGTACACCACCAAACAGAATGCCACGACCCTTGTGCCATGCCATGGTAGCGCCTGCGCGCTTGGGGCTGGGAGCATTGGCAGGCTTCTTGCGCCGTTCCCAGCGAACGACCGGAGGCACCGTCGGGGGTGATCCGTCAGCCGGCAGAGACATCCTCAGGAAGAAACAGTCATCATGAACCATTGGCTTCAAGATGTTCTTCTGTCCTTGGCTTGAACCCCTGGCCTGCTTGTTGGCTGCTACGGTAGCTTTCACTCTTGAGTAACCTCCGTAGAGAACAGCGCCTTGCTCATGGGGAAGAAGCGTGAAAGAAGACCGGGCATCAGGCTTCAACTGTGCAGGAGGCAGAGTCGGACTGTGCCAGGAAAAGTTTTGTGTATCAAAGATCCACACATCGGCAAGATACTTGGTCTGATTAGACGTATCCTGGAAACCGCCAAACAAGATGATATACTGCTTCCAGTATGTCATGCGGTGACCACTCCTGGACGGAGGCGTCTTGCCCTTACACTCAATCTTTGTCCACTCTCTCGTGGCAGGCTCCAGCCGCCAAAAGTCCGAGTAGTGATGGAACGTACCCTGCTTTGGCGACGAAAATTCTCCGCCGAACAAGTAGACATGATTCGGGTTTGATGCTCTCGTCCACGCATGTCCGGAGCGCGGCAAGGGGGCGTTCGGGGACGTCACGCACCTCCACTCATCCCGGTTGATGTAGTAGATGTGCAAGTCGTTAAAGAAGTGGGCCAGCGAGCCATTGAAGTACTCGCCGCCAAAGAGCAGCAAGTTGTTGCTGTCACAAGGCGAGGCCATGATGGTGGAAGCAGAACGGGCCTTGGGTGGTCCCTCGCACACGGTCTCTGTGACTTTGAGGAACTGCTCCTGCTGCTTCCTATACTCCTCGAGCACTTGCTCGAGGTCAACATCCTCGGCATCGCTCCCCTCGAGCTTTGCAGTCTTGGTCTTTGCCTTCTTCTCGCCCTTGTTGGCCTGCTTCTGCTTCTTTGCAGCCTACTCCATGTCAAGTTAGGCACGGATTCTCTTTCCCTGCTTTGGGGGGCCCTTGAAGACGAGGCAGTGGAATACGTACTAGCTTAGCTGCCTTCTCGTCACTCTTCCCCTTCTTAGCCTTGGCCATTTTGAAGGTGTTGTGCAAAGAGTTGTGATACGTAGGGACGGAAAAGGTCAAATATTGACGTTTGTGACGTCGGCGGGGTGAAGGGTGGGATGATGATGGTGGGGTTCATCTTCTTGGGGAAAATTTGAGTCCAGTCACGGAGGGGCAATTTGCATTGGCCGATACAGTCCTCGTCTCTCCGCATTTACTGTGCTCTTTGTCATGTTGGATGCGAGAAACAGTGCGAATTGATAGATGGCCTCTGAATGTCCATGGTGCAAGCATTCGAAGGCACAGATCCCGATTTGACGGCAGGAGGTCGATTGATTGTTCATAGTGATTCTCTCGCACGAGGAGATCGATCCATGCGAAATGAATTTTGATGCGGCGTTCACGTTGCCGGCTCAGTGGCAGGTTTAAATGTCGCGTGCTCCCCTGCCGTTCACCCGATCCCTCGACAATTGACTTGGCACGGGCCGGAAGCTGGCTGGTCACTGTCTCTCTGCCCTTCAAGTTGGCGCGCGAATAGCTGGTGATTTTCACATGTTTGAGCTGGTCCAGCCCCACTGAGGCTTTTCGCCAGTGTTGAGGATGGCAAAGGAGCTCTGGCCAAGGTCCCAGGGAGGCGTACGCGAACATGCGAGGTACCTTGTCCGCGTCGTGCTTGTTTCCTTATCCCATAGCTTTGCTCGAGCCAGGCAAGTCTCAGACCAACAGCTCAACAACGCTATGTTCGAGACAGTCGCGTCGATCGTTTTTGAGCATCTAGTGCAAGCCCACTGTTCACGAAGTGTCGAATCCTCTGTGGAAGAAGCTTCATTTTGATGGCAGTCTGCACTTCGCTGAGATGGAAGAAATTTTGAGGGCCGCTTAATAAACTTGAAGTGACCATTGTACGTTATTCTTGTGAGTAAAAGAACGTACTTGTGAGCTTGACAATCACATGTAAGTTAGGAGTTGAGTGGTGGTGGTGAGATAGGATCGAGTCTGACCGGGGTGTTTATCGACATATCGAGACTTATGCATATCTCGCATATTATGCACGCTTATGCATAATTTTTGGACAAAGGCCAGCTTCTGTGCTCAGGGGGACAGTCGTAGACTGCAGCCGCTTGCCGGCATGCGGACGGGATGCTATCCGTAACGTCATCGTCATTGGCGGCAGCTCCGGGATGCTAGCTGCTGATGCTCCCACGTCCCTCTCTTATCCGCACCCAGCGTAATGCACCCAACCTGCCCTCGTTTCGCAACATCAGGCTAGCTGCCACCAAGCAACCTTTCCGCCCTCCCTTTGTGCATTCCTTCGCCCGCTCCCTCATAGACTTCGGACCCTGTGCGCCAAAAAGTTTCCGATCATCGCTGGTCAAACCACCGCCCTTACTGAATCAAGCCGTGGGTCTTCGACAAGCAAAGGAGGTCTCCTCCGAGCTCTCAGCCTACGCCCACGCCGCACGCCTGTCCGAGGTCCGGCCCTGCCGCCATCCGACGCCGACGCAACCATGTCTAACTTTGGAGACGGGACCAAGGTGACTGTCATTTCAGGTAAGAGACAACCTGCTTTATAAACACCTTTGGTCTCCGCATCCTCTCTTTGTACACGTTCCCACCGAGAGCTAGACCTGGCTTGCCGATATCGACGTACAAGCCGCCATCATCCAACATATGCCATCATGCCTCGCAAGAAGGGTTCCGCAGCTCGTTCCAAGTCGCCAGCCAAGAGGCAACCTGTCAAGAAATTCAGCAACCCTCAACTCGCGTCGCAGGCAGCTGAGTCTGGGAACAGCAAGATTAATGTTGTAGCAGAAGCTCCAGAGCTTGGGCCACCAGCGTCCACCACCACCAACACGCAGACTCCTGATGATACTGAGAGACCTGCCGCTGAGAGGCAGGAGTCCAATCACGAGTACAGTGCCACTGTAAGTCGACATGAGATTGAGCAGCTGCTTCGGCTTTTTTCTAACCATGATTTCCTCGGTAGGGCTTAGACGATTCCCCGAAAAGCCCGAGCAGAGGCCATCGACGATCACCATCTGCGGCGAGGAGCAACGGCAGTAAGGTCGAGGAAAATGAGAGCAACGGCAATGCTTTGGACCCCGAAAAGAGCTTTGGTAGCGAAGGCACCGCAGATGAGACTCTCGTCGATGGATTTGATGCCGACCGATCGGATTCAACAAGCGTCAAGGGAATGAGCGACGACAACTACCCGCGCCTCACTCTCGCAGCACACGGCCGAAGGAACAGCCATCGGTTTGGATTGAAAGCTGCAGGCATTCGCTTTGCACCCCTCCAGGTCCCCTTCCAGCGCCGGCTCCAGACTGGAGCCGTCCTTTTCCACGGCCTGTCGATCCTTACATTCGTCTCGATCTTCTTCTTCCTCGCTGCAATCCCGTTTACCTGGCCTCTCTTGGTCCCTTACCTCATTCACCTGTCTCTCTCTGGCGTTGCCTCCAATGGCAACCTGAAGCTCCGCTCCGAATGGCTACGATCGCTTCCGATTTGGAAGTTCTTCGCTGAGTACTACCCTGCCGAGCTTCACAAGACCCACGATCTCCCACCGACGAGGAAGTACATTTTCGGCTATCACCCTCACGGAATCATCTCACACGGCGCTTTCGCGGCATTCGCAACCAATGCCCTCGGATTCGCCCAGAAGTTTCCCGGGATCACCAACTCACTGTTGACGCTCGACAACAACTTCCGCATCCCCTTTTACCGCGACTACATCCTGTTCATGGGCGTTCGATCTGTGTCTAAGGAATCGATCTGGAACACCCTGAGCAAGGGCGGAGCCAATGGTGAGGGAATGGGACGGGCTGTTACCATCGTTGTGGGCGGTGCGAGAGAGTCGCTCGAGGCTCAACCTGGAACTCTCAGACTGATTCTGAAGGGACGCAAGGGCTTCATCAAAATGGCCCTACGGACTGGAGCTGACCTTGTGCCCGTTCTGGGTTTCGGCGAGAACGACCTCTACGACCAACTCAGTCCGAAGACCCATCCTTGGGTGCACAACTTTCAAATGTTTGTGCTTCGCGTCTTCAAGTTTACCCTCCCGGCCCTCCATGGCCGGGGAATTCTGAACTACGATGTTGGTATGATGCCGTATCGCAGACCGCTCAACATCGTGGTTGGCAAGCCTATCAAGGTCACCACTTCCCCCACAGCACAACCTACTCAGGAAGATATCGACCGGCTACACGAACTGTACATGGCTGAGCTTCAGAAGATCTGGGACACTTACAAAGACCAATTCGTGCCTGAGCGCAAGGCCGAACTTCAGTTCATTGCTTAAAGTACCTTAGCATAGCACCTGCTACAAGAGGTGGCTTCTCCTGGTTTCCTTACACATTTCCCTTGAGCTTAGTACTCAGTTCTTATCTTACACAAAACAAAACACGGCAGCGGCGGTCGAATTTGGCGCTTGGATATTCGGGTGGAAAAAGGGAAGCAAAGTACACTGGGCATCGGGGTGGCTAGGCATGGTTATGGCAGACATTCCGGTACTCAATTGAAAGTCTGATTAAATCCAAATTACTATTAGTCGTCCGAAATACCGATGCGATTTGGCTATTTTGTGTGCTCTACCTCGGTCCGACCGCGAGATTTTATTAAAGCCAGGTAAAGCACGGTATGGATACCGTCAGGTAATCTAGCGTTAAGGTATCCGTAGAGCACAGACTTCACAGCTGCATGCTTAACTGCACATTAGAGTCACCTGACATCGCGCATGTATGACGCGGACCTCGACGCGTGCTAACCGCCGACCCGCCGACGACGAGTCTTTGCTTTTTGATAGTCTCGATTCTTACTCCAATCGCTTCCTCCACCTTTCACTCTTTTCAAAATTGATTTTTCTTAATACCCATTTCATAGCGAAAACCATCCATCTTGGCGCAAGTTGAGAAGACGGGAATAACCATGCCTCCCCGCACTTCTGCACGCAGAAAGGCGCAAGCAGTCGTCGAGACCAAGGTCGAAGAGACATCCACCACGAAGACGAACGGAGCCAAGACCACGAACGTCGCTGCTACGAAGGCGAATACCACCACCGCAAAGAAGCCAGCGGCAAAGCGCAAGGTCTCTTCGGACGACGAGCACGAGGCCTGCGGAAGCTGCGCCGAGGAAGAGGAAGAGAAGCCCACGAAGAAGAGGAAGACCGCAGTAGCGAAGGGCAAGGTGAAGAAGGAGGAAGATATGCCGTTGGCAGACAGGACAGCGGTGCCTTCTCTGAAGAGGGCGATGTACATTGGCGCTCATGTCAGCGGTGCTGGCGGTTGGTGGTTGCAACTCCCTCTTCTCAAACCTGTGCGCTGACAAAAGTATCGTATTAGGTGTACAAAACTCAATTCAGAATGCCGTCAACATCGGTGCCAATGCTTTCGCCCTGTTTCTCAAGTCACAAAGGAAATGGGAGAGCCCTCCCCTTGCAGCCGACGCAAAAGACCAATTTGTCTCCCTCGCAAAGGAAAATGACTACGATGCCGGCGCACATGTCCTCCCCCACGGCTCATACCTCGTCAACCTCGCCCAAGCGGACGCAGACAAGGCGAAGCAGGCATACAAGAGCTTCATAGATGACCTTCAACGATGCGAGCAGCTGGGCATCAAGCTGTACAATTTCCACCCAGGCAACACGGGAGGAGAGGCTCGCGAGGAGGCGTGCGGACGCATCGCTGCGCAGCTCAATACCGCGCACAAAGCGACGAAGAAGGTGATTACTGTGTTAGAGAACATGGCAGGGACTGGGAACGTCATTGGCACAAAGTTTGAGGACTTGAAGCAAATCATCGACAAGGTCGAGGATAAGGAGCGAGTTGGCGTGTGTATTGACACTTGCCATGCCTTTGCGGCAGGGTATGACTTGCGGACGCCGGAAAAGTTCCATGAGACGATGAAAGAGTTTGACGAGGTTGTTGGTAACAAGTACCTCAAGGCTTTCCACCGTAAGTACAAACCCCCTTATCCAAGTTTCTCGCGCTCTAGATGGCCAATACTGACACAACAAAGTCAATGATAGCAAGGCACCCTTCGCCTCCCACCGCGACCTCCACGCCAACATCGGCACAGGCTTCCTCGGCCTCCGTGCCTTCCACACCCTCGTCAACCACGAGCCCTTCCAGAACCTTCCCATGGTCCTCGAGACGCCAATCGACCACAAGGACGCAAACGGTAAGACCGTCGAAGACAAAAAGGTATGGGCGGACGAGATCAAGCTCTTGGAGAGCATGATTGGCATGGACGCCGAGAGTGACGAGTTCAAGACGCTCGAGGCGGAGCTGCAGAAGAAGGGCACGGGAGAGAGGGACAAGATACAGGATCAGGTCGACCGTAAGGCCGAGAAGGATGCCAAGAAGGGGACCAAGGGGGCCAAGGGTGCCGCGAAGAAGGGCGCGGCGACTGGAAAGGGTAGGAAGAAGAAGGTTAAGAGTGACGATGAGAGCGAGTGAGAAGACTGAACTGGCTTGAATGTCTGGGCTGTGTATCAATATGTACCTTATGAACACCATGGATAGCTGGGTACTAGGCGTGTAAACCACAATTACGAATTCGGACCAACAACTGGGAGACGACATATTTACAGTGACAGACTCGATGCCTCCGAGACTTATGTGACACTCCAGGGCATCTAGGAAGTTCTGTAATCAGGCGTCTCAACAATCTTGCCATCTTGTCAATCCCATCTGTTGAATCAGGCACCAAGCACTTCACGTAACCACTGAAACCTCAGGCTCGAGGAGGCTTTTCATCCGATCACGACACCAAGCCCATATAGGTCCCCCCAACTCCATTCCAGTCACCAGCCAACAGGCGCCTTCTAGGTCGGGGGTCAGGTCAAACTGGCTGGATGGTGGCGTGGTTAAGGGTCAACAATCAACGCCAACCAGCCTACTCGACGACAGGCTTAGCGAGTACCCGAGTTCGAATCCTAGCATGAGCACCAAGGGATGTAGCCCCCAGTTCAACACCGAGGGGATGAACTCTTTTTTGGTTTGTGTGTGTATATTAGACAGACTCTATCGTGAGTACTCTTGTGTTCCAAGTCTAAGAGAAAGACGCAAAAAAAACCGCACCAGTGGTATAGGTAGTTCAAAGTAAACAATCTCCTTCCCCTCCATTTGAGCCCGGAACGCCCCCCACGCCTTCCTTCTCCGTCAAATCAGACGTGAAGATGTGCCAATCCCTTTCCTCACCTCCTTCCCTTGGCAAAAGCCTCAACCTTGCCAACGAGACTCTTCAATCCCACACCCCTCTCACAGTTGCCCTCCAACCAAGCCTCCATCTTCTCCCTGACCCCGCACATGCTCTTGAGAACCGGCATATGAGCACCTTCCTCTACGGCGACAAACGAGCCAGGGTTAAGCAACAAATCGAAACACTCTGACCAGATCTCCGTCTGCCAGTACCGCTTTAGGCTCTCGCGGACACGGTACTTGCGCCCGCCTGCCCCGATCCCGCCCTGGTCGCAGCGGACCGTGTCGATGTACTTGCCAAATAGCAGGCAGTGAACGATGCCTGCGAGACCGTGGTAGTCAATCTGCCACGTCCACGGCCGACCCTCGCGCATCTCGGCACAGTCTTGCGCGCTCGTCTTCCAATCTGCGATGAAGCCCACGTCGGGCGCAAAGTTGCGCATGTCGATGCCGCGGCCGAAATCGATGAGCGTTACGCCCCGCGCGTCCCAGCCGCCCACGCCGGTGGCACTGTATTGCGTTGACAGGGGTTGGTCGTTGCCGCCGTGGTCGAGGCGGAGGAGGCAGTTGTCGACTTTGAGGTCACCGTGGAGGACGCCACGGGCGTGCAGGGCCTCGACGGTGCGGAAGAGTTCGATGGTGAAGAACATGGCTAGCTGCTCGTCCATGACGGCAGAGGGTTCAGCGCGGAAGAAGTTGACGACGTCGAGGACGCTGCCGTGAGGGTGGTAGGGGAGGAAGAGGAAACCCTCATCCTGGTAGAGGTGGAACTCGTGGGCATAGGAGACCGAGGCGGCTGCGCGGTGCTGAGGTCCCAGGCGCGTATGGGCGAGACGCATCATGTGGAACTCCCAGGGCGTTGGGGGAAGTTCCATCTTGAGTGCTTCTAGGGGGCTGCGATGGTTGACGGCAAATGCGCCCTTGCCCATGGCCACGACCCCGTTCTCGTCCTCGTCCTCGTGGTCTGCGTCTGGGTTCTCGACAAGATAGACCGGAGCAAAAGCGCCGGCACCGAGCTCCTTCCTGATAGTGTACTCTGTAGCAATGTCGGGAAACTCGATTGTGACCATAGCACAGGCATTGCTCACTCTGTCTCCGCCCTTGGCTGCCTTTGTTATGGCCTTGGCGAATTTGCGGATCTCGTTGCCCTTTTCGTACTTCTCGTGGCTATGGTCGTAGAATCCAGGGTATGAGTCCAGCGAAGGATGCATGTTATCCAAAATTTCGTTTCTCACAGCTTCATCCACTGGGTTGCACTGCAGCTCCTTGATGATCGGTCCCTTGGGAGGTGCCGGCTTTGGCAGAGCAGACTTTGCCTTGCCGAGAAGGGGCTGAGCAATCTTGATAGGGCGCACTTCGCTCAGAACCTCCCTCAAGGGGCTGCTACCCGGCTCTTCCATGTCAGAGCCCTCCTCGTGGATAGTTGACTCATATTCCTCACGAGACGGAGTCTCGTACCTCGCCTTCCGTTCTGTAAACGCAAGAGAAGATTCGGTTCTCTCCGTAATTGGGGTCATGAAGGGGAGACGGTTATTGGCCATCTCGACCGGGTCCCTAAACGGTCGTGTCCTGGGTTCATAATCCTCTGGCGGAATCGGAACGAAAATCGTCTTCGTTCTTGGCGGGTAATCCTCATCATCTTCCCTTTCTTCTTCAGCCTCCTGCTCATCACATGATTCTCTGCCATCCTCGGAGGCGGTCTGCTCATCTAGTAGAGGACCAGTACGTTCAGAGTAGTTTGGATCCGTCAAATCGGAAGGCTGGGTCTCGTCTATACCGGCTTGGGTCGCGTCCTCGTCGAGAACTGGGACGTGCTTGCGTGTGGAGAAGTCAGACCATTCACTGATACTCTTGACATCCGAGCCGTCTTCATCAGCTTCATCGGCGGCGTTATCGTTCTCAACCAGGCGAGTAGTCATGGTGTTTTCCACCTCGGTGTAGTCGCCATCTGTCTCGTAGTCGTCGTCGTCATCATCGCTATCTTCCTCTTCGTCTTCCTCCTCCTCCTCCTCATCATCTAGAGGGTTGGACTGGATGGGTTGGTTGAAAATCTCGTAGATCTCATCCGTAGCAGCCCGAGTGTGGAGCGTCATTGTCGGCTCAGCCGTATTTCTCTTCTTCAGCTTTGGCCTGGACGGCGAGTCTAAGTTTGCTTTTACTATAATATTGTTAGTTGAAATGCGTTGTAGCTTATTGAAATGGAAACTGCTTACTGATTTGAGTCTCGTTCATCTCCATCGTCTTCTTTTTCTTGCTCTTGCCCCCCTTCTTTTTGACTATGGCTCCGTTCTCATCCATTACGACAGTTTCTGTATGGACAATCAATTTCTCCTGTACCAGGTGGCTGAGATCGTCAACCATGGAAGGCTCGGCGCTCATCATCTCTGACGGGACTTCTTCGGTTAGTGACATGTCATCCCAGGAGATATCCAGCCAGCCTCGGGTCATGGCCCAAACTTCCTCAAAACTAAGCTCCGAGCCAGGCTCTTCAGGAGTGGGATAGAGGGCCTCGAGGCTGACAAAGATGCGCTCCTTTTTCCCGCTTACAGGGTTCACTACTGTTTGATTCTTCGATGGCACCAGTGTAATATGGGACTTGGACATTTGCGCTCGCGATGATCGTGATTGGGCTTTGGGTTGCACTTTTGACTGCAACTGAGACTGAAATACATGAAACGCCATAAAGCCAAACATTAGTCCTATAATCATCAACATCCAGGCATTGGGAAGTTCAAGTAAAATCATGCTTACCGTATCCTTGAAGATAGCCATCTTCGGAGCAATGCTCTTCTTCCCGCCAGCCTTCAATGTCTCTCCTGCCCACGGCTTGGGTTCCATCACATTCTCCTTCTTGCGGTCACCTAAGGAGCCGATTGAATCCCAACCCTTTGAACTCGGTCCACGTGAGGACAATGCTGGGGGCGCCGAGTCGGCATCTGAGAAGATAGACATCTTAGCCTTGCCAGGCTTCGCCGCTGTTGTGCTCACGCCCTGGCTGGGGCGAGGGGCCTGGGGGTCTGCAGCTACTGCAGCTGCAGAACGGGCAGCGGCAAAGGGATCAATCTTTGCAGCCAAAGCGGGCCGCACAGTGGGAAGTGCTGGTGAAGAGGGCTCGTTGTCTGCCTCGGGCTGGTGGGCGAGTCTCTCCTCGAACTCCTTGAACTTGCGAATCAGACGCTGGACCGGCCTTGCCTCGCGCTCAATTCCGAGCCTGTACACCTCCTCTGCTTGGCTCCATCTGCCAGCGCCCTCGAGCCAGGCAGCGTACTCTTCGTAGAAAAGCGCGAGCGTCTCTCCGATGTTGTGTCGCGACAGGAAGAGGAAGGTCTCGCGCGGAGAGTCGGAGAAGAACTGGATGTACAGGACCCAGATCTTGAGGTATCTGGGATCATTCTTATACTGTGATGATCCGATGAAGGTCTTGGTTGCGCGCTCGAGGAGCGTGTGAAGCTGGGACTGTGGCGTGGCCTGCGCCGAGGGGTAGGCGTCCAGGGTCCATCGCACGTAACGGTCGAAGATGTCTAGAGGATCGTCCGACTCGGAGATGTTCTGAAGTTCCTCTTCGTACTCGACTCGAATGCAGTCGTTTACATTTTTCGTGTCAGAGGGTGTCGGGGTGTTTAGTTTGTGCAGGGGCGACGGCGAGAACAGCTCGGCCAACTTTTTAGCGGAGCGTCCACTGGGCAGCGCCTGGATATTTTCTTTCTGCGCTTCGATGACGTCGAAGTTGATGAGATCGTCGGAGGCTGCCATGGTTAGTATCGTCGCGGCAAGTTGCCGTCGAGTCTCCAAGTGATGTGGTGCTGGGGTGCTGCGTCTGGGTTGTCGATGTCTGAGTTGGGAATGGGGCAGCGTTACCTAGAAAAGGAAGCCCAGTGTTGTGGTGTTGATTATTGATAACGATAACAGATCGCCCATGTGGGCCAGGTCGTACGTTGCTGGGACAACACGCCTCATCGCTCGGGCTTATGTAATGACATTTCCTTCACCGAGCTCGGTGTGCTCACATCGTCATTTTCCCTTGTTCAACGGCACTTACCAAGGTAGGAAGTAGCAGTACACCTCCATCCCTTTATGTGACCCCCAAGTAGTAATCCCACGTCATCTTGTTCATCACAAAGAGAAAAAAATCGACTTGAAGCCAAAGCTTTCAACCGTTTTGCGAATTTCAGAATGACAAAAGATTTTAGCGTCGAAAAACCTCGGTCCTCCGTTTGGCCTCTTCTAGCGCTCGGTCCGTCTGATCTTAGTGGCCGGTTCTGCCCATGTACCCCTATCTTGTCCAACCTCTTCGACTCCAGGAGTCAAAATTCAGAATGACGCCACCCCGATCACTCCTTTTTTCCGGCAAGTTCATATTACAGATCGATCTTGCTTGTCGCGACACGGCGGTTTTCTTCCATGCTTTCCAACTGCTGTACGGTGGCCACAACTTCAGAACCCTCAAAAAGCCCTAAGCATTGGAGAGGGGCTCCATTATGGATCACTCAACGTCGGCGACTTCGGGGTCAAGTCTGACGTCCAAGAAACGCCTGCTGGACCTTCCCACCGAGCTTATATGTTGCGTCGTCGACTCCGTCGCACTTTTGAGGAAAGACAGATACGATGATTCCAGAGATACTCAGACCTTGTCGAATCTTTCACAAACCTGTCAATTATTCCATCTTCTCTGCAATTCTCAACTCTTTTCAAACATCAACTTGGATGAGTCCAAAGACGCCGCAGGTCTTTTGATCCGTTCCCTTATCGAAGCACCTGAACTTGGGGTTCACGTGCAGCGTCTGACGCTACGCGTCATATGGGAATCAGCAGAGCAATGCGAGAAGGGATTACGGAAACGGCTTACACATACTCAGAGCAATGCGACACATCATCCGGGAACTTTGCCAAATTTGCGGCACTTGGAATTGGAAGACCCTGCAGTGTACTTCATGAACATTGCCGAGGTTCCTCGCATATTCACTGGTCTTCTTGCGCTACCTCCTCTCACATCGATTCTTACACGATACGACAACGATCGGTGGGGAGGTCTTGCTCAAGTCGCCTCAGCTGGACCTTTCGCCTTGGAACAAATCCGCTTTCACGAAACTGCCATCCGGGGACCCGAATTATGCCGCTTACTGCAGCTTTGTCCCGGTCTTCGAGTTCTCGAAATTGAGATCGATTATCACTTTTTCGCTCCTTGTTTCCAGCCGACCACACACCCTGGTATCACAACCCACCTGTCCACGACGCTTTCAACACTCTGTCCGCGCTTGCAGAGACTTACGCTGCTACATGGGGACCTCTCAGCTCTTCGGCCCCCTGATGAACCATGTCTCGCATGTCTTACGGATTTGGAGGATCTCACTGTGTTGGAGACTGAGCTGCCAACCATATTTCGAAGTCCCGAAGACATGGCAAATGCAGACATCACTGCTCGTCTGCCTGCCAAGCTCACGCAACTGACCCTACACGATATCTGGTACTCGGATCCAAGGTACTGTCTGTACTCTTTGGCCCCAGGCTCTCGTCCCTGGATCCATGAGAGATTGGATGCCGGTACTGAACCTCTGACTGCAATGCTGCTCCGTCTGGCGTCGTCATGTTTGGCCGGCCATCTGTCTGGTCTTCGAAAGGTGGCCGTGAAGACTCCCACTTACGAACACGACAGAGGCAGTACTTGTGACAAAATTGTAGAAGCATTTGCGAAAACTGGAGTTTTGTTCGAGCTGATATCCGCTCACTCAACATTTCCATGTCCATTAACGCGGTAAAATCAGAGAATGGTCAAGAAGTTAAATTGCGTAAGTCTTGAGTAAATTTTAGTATGACTTAGCTGCAAATTGTAATTAAGTGAAGTCCATACTTCAATACCATTACCTTTTCCTTGAAGGAATTCTAATGATCTATTCAATGTTCCTTGTGTGACTATCGCATGCTAGGCATCTACCTATAATTGAAAGCTTACTTCGACTTCAGAAAGTTTTCAAATCCGTGATGTTGATAGAATTGGCTTGGCCGTGAATGAGATATTTCGTCGAGGTGTTTTTTTCTCCTTTACTTAGCTCGGTTATATTTGCCATTGTCAATCAATATGGTGTACGGAGACGTGTACGTGGGTTCATTTGCGTTGCAGCAGTTTCCAGGAAAGCTTGCAGAATTCATGGCAACCAACAAAAAGCCTTTAGTTCAGGGCTCCAGAAGACGCCGTCTGAACTTGCAGACGCCGATACCTTTCAAGTCGTCAAGTCGAGGTGCATGTGGCTGCAGTCTCAAGAAGCTCTAAACCGACTTCCGGGGCATTCCCAATCCGCACAGCGGGGTTCCTGCATCACGTCATACGCGCCGAAGAGTGAGTCTTCTCGGCCATACTTCTACTACACATTGCTACCAAAACAAGAGCAGTGTAGTCGACAGAAAGAACGCAGCAATTCATAAATCACTTACCTCGAAGCTCGAAAATCACTTGCTCGGCCAACATTTGACTTGTTTCTTTTTCTCACTCTCAAAATGCGTGTCGAAAAGTTTCCCCTCTCACCCCCAAGCCTCGAAGAGCTGGCCGAACGACTCAAAGCTCCCTTGACCGCCAATTATGAGCATGCATCGGTGACTGTAGTTAATTGCCCAGACCTGCGAGAAGCGCCTTTTCACCTTGCAACCGAGGGCCTCTCGGGCGACGAAAAGATCGCAGACGTCGGCGGCCAGCCGAACCTCTTTCCCCGCCCCCGGCTCGACAGCACCTGGTCCATACCAGAGATTGGCAGAAACATGGGAATGAGCCCTGAAAAGGGAAGCTTGATCGGCGCCGGCGCCGGTCCTTTCCACGTTATCGGGCAGAACAGCGAGCTTGCGCCGAATCTCAGCTGGCAAGGCGGTCATGACAAGGTCGATAACAAGAGCCAAATCATCCAGATTAAACGCACCACTGGGAAGGTCAGCGTGGGAACTAGTCCTTCCGTAGACTGCGGGCTGATGGTCAATCTGTACGGTTCTCTGGGCGAGCCGGGGCCGGTGCTCAAAATTACAGCAAAAGGCCGAAAGGGCTCCGAGAAGAGCTTCACCGAGTGCATCCGTAAAGGACTGAAAGCTGCGTACGGCGATGAAAGAACTGTTAGCCTTGGAGGAGCCTTTGTCGTGAAGGCAGGGAAGGCGACATACCACATCATGCCTGATTTTCCTGCTGAACGCGACCTTCCTTTCAAAGATAGGAAGGAAGTTGAAAAGTGGCTGACATTTCATGATTTCGATTCGCCCATTGTGGGACTGTCTGTGTTGCACTCTGCGGACCCGGACAACAAGATGGGCTTGCGGATTGAGCACACGCATGCGTTCTCTCCACTGGGAAAGAATGCTGGAGGTCACTACCATTACGAAGCCGAGGGAGAGGAAGAGGTTATTGAGTATGAAGGTTACTTCAATACTGCGAAAGCGATATACAGGATAGACAGCCCAGCGGTCATATAAGTATAGAAGTAGTAATCATTTCTACAGTGTCCCTTCATAAATCTTTTACCAAAGACAGTCATCCTCAGACTCTTCGTCAGGAATATTGAGGCTCTGTTTGAACTCTTTCGTCCACTATCGGACAGGTTTTTCACCTACTCAAAGTTCTTTGTAGAACGACTTTATTGGCTCTGGAAGTTGACTGGAGTCAAGTAAACCGTCATCATCGACGTATTCTTCCATGTAGGCGATCATAGCCATGGCGAAGGAGCCCACTGGCTTTCCCGAGCCAAGGGCATAGAGTCTCAAGTATGCCTCTAGTAGTACGTGGGCTCTGGGAACAATGACAGAGCTATTGCTAGATTGGAAGGCACCCGTTCCACGACCAGGCCGCCACGGCGGAAGTACGTCTCGGTCGCAAGCGAGAGCAAAGGTAGACGGCAGCTTGGGGGTTTCGACAGTCAAGAGGGAGTCATCCAGGAGTGGTCAGAACCAAAGAGTTTCCGACTGTATATAGAGGCCCACGGTGACTTCCGAGGCTTTGATGTGCGCATGGAATGTTGGTGGCGGCGTTCGACGCTCAGGAGAGCTTGCGGAACAGAGCTCCGCGGATAGACATTGCTCGAGATTGGGTAGCTCTGAGATGACATCTGCGGCGACCGAGATCAGTTGATCAGGGACAACAAAACCTATTGACTTTGCCTTTGTTAGCATGAACACTGATGGGATTAGTACATTGTTTTGAGACGTGCCTACTCACCCCTATGATTGACGGTACACGATGGACATTGAGGAGATAGTGACCCAAAGTACACAAGGGATTCTTGATGCTTGAGGGCTGAGGACATCGACTCCACAAAGGGTTCTTTCGATTCGAACATTCTGAGCGACCGCTGGACAGTGACTGTGTGACTCTGAGGTTGTATGTTGCTGATGTGCGATGAGATCAAAGGTCGCTGAACAGATGGCCTGACCAGCATGTCATAAAATTGCTAGCGATTGAGCAAATTGGTTGGGTCAGACCGTTGTGTTTGCTATATATATATATGTGGAGAAAATACCTCTGAAGAGCCTCTCATAAGTCACAACTAACTCACTTTCAAACCCTGAAGTTCCATATCGACATTTTTGACCCTTTTCCAGCTGTTCCTTTGATCTCAAACATGTACACAGACCGCACCTTCACGCTCTTTGCGCATGGGCCTTGCCCCCGGAACTACGAATCCAGATATGGAACGAAGCACTGTCGGTTCGAACCGTTTTAGCCACAGTACTTGAACCCGATGCAACCACAAGTGGCGCCAACGACTCGTCTTTGCTGATTCCTCTCGATATGGTCCACGTTGGTCCGGCTCCCTTTCAGGTAGGCCTCGCCTGCACGGAATCGCGACAATTGTTGGGAAATATGTATCCCAATCCCATACGCTTATCAAGGGGCCCCAGGGCAAGCGATGCCGTTCACTGGGTTGATTGGGAACCAACAGTCGTGTATTTGCGTGTTGCGCCGCGCACAGTACATTCTCATTTTATACCATCCATGACAGACGCTTTTGGGAATTTTTTCGAAGCATTCCCTAAGGTAGAATTGGCAAAATTCCGCCATGTTGTGGTAGAGGAATCTCCCGACCTCTTCTATACTGTCGGTCTCAAACTATTCCAACACTGTCCTGGGCTGCATACACTCGTCATACAGGGTAAACCAACCGGAAGCTCGATGATGACCAGCCTTTATGTGCCCCTGACTGAGGAGATGGCTGCGCACTTCCTTGACATACTCTGTTGCCCCGATAATGGACCCACATGCGAGGTCAAGCGCTATTACATTGAAATTGTAAGGAAGGCGGGAAATAACTGCGATCGCCAAACACCTCAAAATGTATACTACACCCATTCCAATTGCTTAAAGTACCCAAATGAAGACCGCATGGAGACGGGCCGCAAGCTTTTCGATCTCCGATGGAAGCACAGCTGGCGATCATGATGATATTGGTGGACATCGAACCTAGAGCCTGTAGAAGTTGAAGTGTTCTATTCTGGTCATAGGTAGGCATAAATATCAAACCTCAAATGAAGATCGCGTTCATGGTTTATATTTCGTTGATTGGTGCCTGGAGATCATTGATAATTTTGACAAGTATTCAAGCTATGTGTGTCAAGTTGATCCTACATGTGACATTTACACGCCGCCTAGTCAACGACGACAGATATAGCTATCTTTCTACTAGTATATGCTTGGCAGAGTTGAACTTTAAATCGATGTCTCACATGAGCTCTTATTTTGAAGATCTGACTTATGCTCAGGTTGCTGTCCAGTCCCGTTTGCCATTGTAGTCTGACAGTTTGTCCTTGATCGGCATAGGCTATTAATACATGCTTCGTCTAGGTACTTAAAAAACACTGTGCTTGAGTCCAACTCAATGACTACCTCTGATCATACGTCAATGACCTTCTCCCTCTCGAATCCAGCTGCCTGAGAGAAGTAGTATCCTCGCTGATTTGCGATCAGTCTCAACGGTTCGGCGTCACCCCCCCTCTCTACCGTAAAGTCGCAGTTGTAGTGTGTGTGACCAAACGCCCATATCTTTACTTTCTTGCTCCTGAAACATAATTGTACTGACAGGTCTGTTGCAAACCCCGATGTAATTGGACTTTGCGCAAATCTCGGGTCGATGGAGCGTTCATCTCTGCTTGGATTCCAGTGCGAAAGGATAACCTCGACGTCGGAATTTTCAAGCTCCAAGACCTGCGCGTTGAGCCAAGCTACATCTCGGTTGTGGGCATTGTTGTGGGCTTGTACATCCCAGTCGCTGGTCTGGAAGAAGTCGTTGAGCCCCATGCTCACTTGCATCTCGCTTTCGGGCGGCACGAGTGAGAAGAGACTACAGCCCAGGATGACCGTGTTGGAATCGGGCACTCGATATGCAGTACGATCCAGAAGAACAAATTCGCCAATTGAGTCGTCTTGACCGAATTCTTGTTCAAAGTCTCGCAGAAGACTGATGGTTTCAGGCCAGCTGGAGTGGTATGCTTCGTGATTTCCAGGAACGAAGAGTACGGTGCGGAAGTTTTGGAATTGCCGAATCAGGAAGGCGCGGCACTCACCCTTATGAGCAACGATGTTCCCGATGTCGCCGAGCAAGGCCAAAGTCGGTGCGTGAGGGGAGATTTCGAAGACATCGTAGGCCTTTGGCGCCTCAAGGTGCAAGTCAGAGACAATCTGAACATCCATGATGAGAGGAGATTTTGTTGTTGTTGGCAAGTTGCGTTGCTGCCTGAAGAAAGCCGTTGGTTGTCTTGACAGGCTATAGTGTGAAGAGACCTTAAGTTCTTGCACAACACTGTGCTGTACTTGATCATTGGCTGAGCGTACCTAGTAACATACTTCGTTTACTTTCTATAATTATTACCCAAACCGAAAAAGGGCCATCTTTTATGCGTCATTCTATACATGTATAAACCAGGGAGAGAATCTTTGATATTGCTCGAGACTCTTCAGGACTTTCCAAGCCTACAAGGAAAGAAGAAGCTCCTTGTGTTCGTGCAATGATGAGCGACGATGTAGAAACAATGGAGAAAGTGGAGGCAAATGCTTCTAGATGTAAGTTCCCAGCAAGTGATGAGCACCATGATTTTCCAAAGAATATGAACAAAATGTCGATGTTTCTTTCGGTTGTAACACATCGGGAAGAATAAACAAATCGAATACCCTTGGTGTCCCGGCACGCTCTTAAAATCGGTAATCTCCGTAATCGCCCCCTTGCCTCTTTAGGCCACGGAATATTTTCCTCTGCCAGGGGCCGCCGCTCAAACCTTCCACATTACAATATTATTCGCGACGACGTCAACCTACAAGCCTGCTAATATGTTCATCGTCCGACAAGCAATCGGAAAAGGCCTTGGGGTTTTTGCTTCAAGATCCATTGTCACAGGCCAAAGAATCCTCACTGACCAGGCTCTACTCACAATCACCTCCTCAGACAGCAACTCGATCCTGCGACAAGCTCACCTCCTCTCAGCAGCTGGTCGGGATTCGCTACTCTCACTATCAATCAATCCCAGCAAGTCAAGCGTCTTCAGCTGGCTAGAGTCAATATGGCGAAGCAAGTCTGCTCCACAAGACACAGTGTCTAACCACACCATCCTCAACATCTTTCGGAATAATAACTTCAACATTGGCAACCAGACCCAGGCGCTCTTTCCTCGAGTTGCGCGCTTGAACCACTCCTGTGTCCCCAACGCCCAAGGAAACTTCAACAAGGACTTGAACGCTTTCACTATTCACGCTACCAGAAAAATTGAACCGGAAGAAGAAATCACGATATCCTACCTCGACGAACATTTGGGCCTGAGGCAATCCCGACAGACCGCGTTGCATGACGGGTACGGCTTCACGTGCGGGTGCTCTGCTTGCAGTTCGACGACCTCTTCAGAAGCTGGTGAGGTGCGCCGAGCGGAGATCCAGCGCAAGCTGGAGCTTTTCGCCGAAGCTGCTTCTGAGGATCCGGAGGACGAGTTCAAGATGATGCTTGCGCTATTGGACGCTCACGAGGCAGAGGCCATCCGTGGGCGTGAGGTCTCGACGATGTATATCGCTACCGCTCGCAAAGCATTTGACTTGGGAAAGCGAGAAGAAGGACGGGAGCTGGCGTTGAAGGGCCTGCAGCTCGAGAAGGAGGCTGTGGGTGATGACAGCCCTTTTTATGCTGCTACTCTGGAGACAGTGCAAGCGCTCGGAGTTGAAATTTGATCTTGGGTCAACGAATAACTATTGTCGACTAAAGGCAGCAGACTTTCATTTCCGAAGTTCCGCATCTCGAGATACCCAACATAATTTATTATCTTTCGTTCCATGCATCTCGTCCAATTCAAAGTAGTCTCTAGTCATCTATTGTTGGTATCCCTATCACAGGGTAGTTGGTTCGAACCGTGGGTTGACGACGAGGTCAAATTGATATGTATTAACTTCTGCGTCAAGGGTGTAAAAGGGAGGTTCCAACCGTAGGTTGGGCAGACCGTGGTTCTCGTAAGTACGGTCTGTAAATGGCCCCTGCGCGGGCCCCTTGCCTCGAGGTCGAATTGGACTTCCAATCCGACATCTGTAAACTAGGGAATACATCTCAAACCTGAAAATCAGCTGCAATCGACCAATGGCCGGAGACCGCGACCAAGACCAAACTCATCGACCAGTTGCGTAGGCAACGATTCCAGCTCCTTGCCCAATGACTCAGGGCTGGCATTTCCTTGCGAGTCTCTTCCTTGCTAGGATTGAAAATCGAGTAGCTTCACACCTTCTTCCATGATATGGAAGTTGCATTGGTTCGCATCCCTGTGTACGAGTCCTAGCGCGTGAAGCTTCTTCAAAGCGGCCTCGCAGTCGTTCAGATCCTCAATGGAAGCAAAGCGCCCATCCAGCTTCTCCAGCAGAAGACCCATCACGCGCCCATTCTCATGGAAGTGAGCGAGGAAGCGCGGGGCCAGTCCGGTACCCTCGAGCAGTCGATACGCTCTCGTTTCTTATTCGATGTAAGGTATCTCTCATTCGAACCGGGCAATCTTGGCGATCACGGTGTCTGATGATACACCATTTACTTGGAGACTCTGGGGCGTGAGGGTTTCGAGTGCCGCTAATGTGAGCTGTCTGGTCCGTTGCAGTTCTAGACAATCAACCATGGCAGTATGCCATTGGCACTTGACGCCAACTAATGTTCGGTTCCGCTAAGAAGTTTTAAAGTCGCCGCTGATTTTATCCCGAGAAATCTCGGCCACAGTCCATGCCTCGTCGTAAGGAAGGTCAGGCAGAAACTCAAGAGGGAAAGAAAGTGTGTCTTTATCCTCAAACATCCCGGGGGCGATGCACCTATTGCGGGACGGACTAAAAGCTGATTCACCTCCTTTGCCATTCTCAACAGCAGTAAAAGGGACTCTTGCCCAGAAGCTTAAGATGGCTATACCCCTAATCCTGAAGTGCAAATCTACTGAGCTGTAGCTTGAGAATACGAAGACCATGAGCGATCAAGTTTTTCTTCTTTTCCTTTCCATGTGTTTATGTTTGTAGTTTGGGTACCCGCCGATTCGTTCTTGGAAATCCCTCATGTAGAGTCAAGGGTCAAAATTGTTGGGGTTTCGGGTCTGAGCCTCGATGTTGTCCCCAGTGACTGGCGATCTCGGCGACGGGCCCCTGTGTCGCGTTCGCATACCGTCGTTCAGGATCTGGCCCGTATAGCTCGTCAAGCTATGTGACAAAATTGGCCATTCGAAAACGTGATTGCCTGATTTCTACCTGGATGACGCTGCGCTAGAATTGCTCCTGTAGTCAATATGTGTCCTAGATTCTTATCGTGGGTAGAGAAAGGTGTGTCTTTTTCAGTTGTGCTGACTAGAAGGAACTGGAGATGTAATGAGACTAAGGAACTCAGCGCTGCACCGGTAGCGGGCTTGGTTACCCCATAATGGCCAGCGATAGCGGCACAACCGCACGCGCTTAGGTGCAACTGTTTCGCGGTAACGCCTCAGATGAGACGTGAGACCTGTAGCCGTCAGATTCGGCAGGCCTCTATTGATGGAGAGTATGAGGGCTGATGGCTCACATTCCGTGGCAACCGAACGAGAGAATCGATACATGCAGTGACATGCTTAGTGGCTCGTGCGTCCGGGGCACTTAATCCGCCCAACATCCATCACTTCAACCAAAGCGTTTATTCTAGTCGCTATCTGCGTTCATAACTTTTCTTCTATTCCTGTAACGTGCGGTAGTATGCTAGGCGTTTCGAGCTTGCCGAGCGTCGCTGTGGTGATTCACGTGTTCAGCTAACGGTGTTCATGTTCGCAGCTTCCCCACAGACGCCAATCCGCGGAGTGCGGCAGTTCCAACTTCCAATAGAGGTTATCTCCTAATTCCGGAAGTCATCTCCTTCAAGAACGCACGTCATGGAAGACTTATAGACAGAGTTACGCCGAAAAAAAACTAGCTCTGGGTGGAAATACCTAGCAATTGGGGGTAACCCCCACCCCAAAACCATTGCAAGCTTCGTGGAACCGTATAACCAAAATATTCGTAGTTTTCACAGGGTTTTTCTGTCGCAATGTAATGACGGAATCACATCAAAACTCATCTTCGTAAGCCATGGGATAATTCTTGTTCGAAGAATGCTGTAGAACCACGACCTGCTTAAAAACGTATCCGAACCTAAAAAATATCCGCTTCCTTGGCGTAAGCTGCATATCTCTTTGTGCCGCATGAGGAGAATGCTGAATCACCATCCCCATAAACACAAGCGCCACTAAGTTACGATTGGTGCATAACGTTAGACTTTGCAGTCTGAGCAGCCTGATTGCCTGTCTCTAGATTTCTAATTCCGGACTTTGTGGCTTTAACAGGACGGAGAAACCACGACACTTCACCGGTTTCCGAGGAATGCACGTGGAAGAGCTTCAACACTTCTGTTTGCATTGAGACTATAAATACAGCTCCAAGGTATTCATCAATGGAATCCATAACAGAGGACAAGCACATCGAATCTCTACTACTACTCGCAATACTCCACGTACCAACATAGTTTCTCAACATGTCTTCTAAGAAGATCATTCTCATCACTGGTTAGTTCTTGCTCATGATTAAAGCATACATGCCACCAGTCAACGATCGGATTCAGAGCTAACATAATTCAGGCGCAAACCAGGGCATTGGTTTCGACAGCACCTGGGCTTTGGTCTCCGCATCCCCCGACAATCACGTCGTCGTCGGCTCCCGTAGCGCGGAGCGGGGCGCCAAGGCCTTGGAAAATCTCCAAGCCCGGAAGCCGGCCGGCACTGTGAGCCTCTTGGAGCTCGATATCACCTCCGACGACTCCATCAAGGCGGCGGTTGAGAAGCTCACCGCCGACTTTGGCGTCCTCGACGTCCTCGTCAACAACGCCGGCATTGTCATCACACAACCCAAGGATCGCCGGTCCGAGCTGGTCGACACTTTCAACACCAACGCAGCTAGCGCATTGATCCTCACTGAGGCTCTGGTACCGCTCCTCAAGAAGTCCAAGGATGCGAGAATCATCAACGTCACGAGTGGTCTCGGTTCCATCCACGAACGCACTACTCCGGGCGGCGCGTTTTACGATGTTCCCGGCGATGCCTACCGCATCTCCAAGGCAGCGCTGAACATGGCGACGGCGCATATGCTGTGGGCCTACAAGAGCTGGGGCGCAAAAGTCTGGGCTTTCTGCCCAGGCTGGGTCGTCACCAATCTTACGGGTGAAGGTGACAGGCAGAACAGAATTGAGGGAGGTGCTGAGAGTTCGGAAACCAGCGCGCAGGGCATTCTCGAGATTGTTGAGGGCAAGAGAGATGGTGAGGTTGGCAAGTTTCTTCAGAGGAATGGTGGGCAGTTCCAGTGGTGATCCGTTCAGAAGTATTAGGAAGATACCAAACTATTCGAACACTAGAAATTCGGGTCTCTCAACTCATCGCTTTATCGATATTTCTGTGGTCCGCATAATCCCCTGGCCTTTATCATCCTGGAGGATCATGTCCTCGCTTCCAGACCCCCTACTCCCGTCTTTCTCATATGGGCTTTGATGTAGGTCACTACCGGCGCTGCGCTGTACCCCAGGAGGTCCAGCAAAAGGTCGGCTGTGCATCTCGTATTCAACTTGGCTGTCATGCACTCTGTAACCCTGGCGGCGCTTCGAGGTATTTGTTCCGGCCGGTCTTCTGTTCTCGTACAATTTGCCATGGTAACGGTCGCTCGATGAGATTTTGAGAGCATGACCGACAAGAGGCTTCAAAGATGGTGCGCAAGCGGCGATGATTCCGAGGTTAAGTTGTAAGCTATGACGATTTAGTATCGAAGAAAGCAGATGATGGTTCAGAAAAGAAGCTTACAATTCCCAGAATTGGATACTTTGGTAACTTTGTAGTTGTTAGTTGGAAACACTTGCGAGGTGATAGCTCTATGCGACTTACAAAGTCTTGTCCATGTCTTTCCCATAGGCTATTTGGTAGACTGACTTGATGACACCCATAGCTACCGCACTATGAACACTTAGCACAGAAAGCGACACCGCCATTGGGGTTCAACACACAAGTAACCAAGACTGAGAACAATGATGAGATATATCCGTGTCCTCAGCTTCATCTGCAACGTCCAGATGATGCTCACAGGAAGTGTAGCAAAGCATACGTCAGTGAAGATGTTGAAGGCAGTATTGATCAAGCCGAATTTGATGAAGAGAGTGATTGGGTAGCATTTGGGGTTCAAGCTCTTGTCCCAGTATCCTTCCAGTGGCTGACAGTAGAAGAAGAACGTCATCCAGGCCATGAAACTATAGGCAGACACAAAGACTGTAGGTAGTCTCAATCAGCAAAGCATCGTTCGTGGGGTCTTGTGTCTGGTCAGTCACAGTTTGAGGTAGCAGGCACTTACCAATCAATGCCCAAAGAGATCTCGAGTACCAGATGCTCCTACTGAGCCGTAGGAGAGAGAGACCAATCGATACTTTCAGCAATGCTAAACCGGCGATGGAAGATATAATCGACTGGAAGAAGCTTGACTTTCTCATAATGACCATATTCTCAGCAGGGATGATCAGGGTGTGCTTCCCGAGACCGTAAAAGGACTGCACTGAAAAGATTGTCATGCCTGCCACGGCACAGAGCTTCCAAAAATTAATATTTCTCAACCCTAAGGACAAAAGTTGGACACCAGGAAACGTACCACAGATGCGATGGCAACATAGTCGTCTCTTCCCATAACTTTGACGATGGCTGCACGGGTGTACACGCGAAGGCCAACAAAAAGCAGAGCAAGAGCGTGGAAGCCACCCGTCACGCCGACAATCATGGCGGTATTGCTCTCTTTGGCCCATTCCGGGTCAAGGGGCTTGGTAGGTGGAGCAGCTGAGGACATTTTGACCAAATATAGCTATCCAGGACGTACATCGACACCAGGCAAATTAAGAAGCTGAATACATAGATGATAGAGAGAAAGCAATCCCAATTGAAGAGCGAGTCATGAGTTCATATCACAAATACTTACATGCAGCATGTAAGAATCAATTTGCTCAACTGTCTGTGAAGCCAGGAAGCAAAGCAGAAGCCGAGAGCGTACCACGGTTGTCTCAAAGCAATCATTGGTATGGGAACTGAGATGATGCGAGTTGTTCGTACACTTACGTTCCATCCACTTTAGGTGTCAAGGGGGTTTGAAGTCCACCTGCCTCTTGAGAGCGTGAAATTTCACAAACATGGCTCTGGTGTGGCGAGCTCACTCCTGCAGCCGTCTTCATCGAGAGTTCGGGCATCCGGTGGGATGGAATCCGCACTGCTGTTAGTCAACGGCATCGCTGCGGCACAGAAAAGTGTGCCGTCACCCAGCCACCCGAGCCCTCCGAATGTTGAGTTCTCGTTACATGGGTGAGCTGTGTAAAACTCAAGTCTAATATATTCAGCCAAGATTGAAACGGCGAATGAGCCTGAACACTCTTGAAGGTACTCACCTGCTTTTCTTTCCTCGTTTCCTTCAAGTTTACCAAGGACGGTCTAGTGAAAATTCTTCCCGGGTAACTTGCCACCTAAGAAGTTTGTTC